AAAAAACGCRAAATAAACATGAACCTACAGCGGGTCAGTTAGTTCTTCAAATGATACCTTTAAGTTAATTTTATAGTTTTGTGATATTAATAATGCAAATGTATTGATATTTTTCTAGTTTTGATTTAAGTTTGCTTGTTTAGCGTCGTCACAGTTGCTAGGTGACATGACGTACGCCGGGGTAAGGAGGGGAGGCTAGACCATCCAAATTCACAGACTCTTTTTTTCCGGTCTTCCCGGTCTACCAAGGACCTGGCCCGCTGTGACCGGGTAGTCTGGGTCCTCCGGAGGACCCGGCCTGTCGTTTTGGACATAGTCATTGTCTCATTTGTCTCTGTGTCCCTGTGATGGACTGGGGACCTGTCCAGGGTGTCCCTCATCCCTTGTATAGTGACTGCTGGATATGGGTTCTAGTGACTCCCTGTGACCCTGAAAAGAAGAAGCAGGTATAAGATAATGGAATGAATGTTATTTTTAGTAACAAGAAGCTCAGTTAAAGTCTTCAATCATTTTATAAAAGTAACTATTTCCTAAAATGGCTGATACGTTATTTTTACATTTCCAATAATAAATTGGTTTGCTTTCTAATAAATAATGTTTTTATGAAGAAATATGACAACATGAGGTGGTAGACGATGACCCCATTAGCATTAGCATGCCAACCTTAGCCCCAGAAACATATTTTTTTCCCTTTTTGGTTCCTCATGTCATTATTCATGTCATTTACTTTGAGTTCTTTTATTCAGTCTTTGAACTTGTTTTTACTTTTGTTCCATGTGCCTCAAAGGATGCATCTGCTCCATCTTTTGCAAATTTTGATCAAATGGTGTGTTTTTTTTTTAATGTTTTTTTGTCATAGTAATGTTTGGTTTTTGTTTTTATCATATGTACTTAAACACATGATCCGATAAATATTAAACTCATATTTTAAAATCAAGTTGAAAACAATAACTTAACTGTTTTCAACTTAATAAAATATCTTCTATTACTTTAATATAAAGAAAATGACCTGATTTAAGGCTGAACCAGGACTGATTGATGATCACATGAGATGAGGGGGGTAGGGTGAAAAGGTTAAAAATTAGTTAATGAGCTGGTTTAAAGTTGAACCAGGATTTATAAACTTGGATGTAGTTGATAAACTAGCTGACAAAAAAGAAAATCTCAGAAAATCCTAACATTTGGACTCTTTATAGTTAATACGTTTTTTTTCTTTCCAAAAGAGCAAAGTTCAAAGTGAATCTTCTGACTCTGCTGAAGCATCAGAACCACAAGTGGCTGATGAATCAGTTGAAACTGGAGCAGAGGAGTGTGAACGTCCTCATGTTCCTGCTGGTGAGGTTCCATCAGAGGAAGGAGACACTTCTCAAGCTGCTGAGGAACATGAGGCTCCTCCTGCTGATGAAGAACACAAAGAGAAAGGTTCCGACAATCTGAAGGACAAGCCAGAGGTGAGTGGTCAAACTAATGCTCCTCATTGTTTAGATTCTCATCCTCTTCATTGTCATCATCTTCATCATTGATATCATCATCTTCATCATTGATATCATCATCTTCATCATTGATATCATCATCATTGTCAGTGATTATAAGCAGCCTCATTGACACAAAGACTCTGTTCTTTCTTCCCTTTTTGTGACATTTTAAAATTCAAATGAAATTTGGATGGAAACTGCTAATGACTGAGACAGATGGAGATGGGGTTCAAACTGGCAACCTACTGTTTCCAGGATGATTTCCCTGTCTCCTGAGCAACTGTTATTAACAACCAGTGTATCTGTGTCCATCACAGCAACACCTGGACAGGTCTACAGTCTAGCACCGAGACATAAACGTTTCACTTCTGACCCACATCTAGATAAGAGTTTATCCAGCGATGAACCTAACGTGTGTTTGTGGTCTGTGGGAGGAAACTGACTGCAGGCAGGAGGCACACCTGTGAAGGACTACTCCTCCATCATAGGCTACCATTAGATCAAATGTTGAGCTGATACAAACTCTCCCAGGACTGCAGGCTGTTCTGCTTCATGATGACGCAACATGGCACCGGTGCTTATGGCTGGCTGTCTGTCTCTGCACAGCTTATGTGTAATTTTTCTCTTTTTTATAATCTTTTTTTCATATGGGGACTCTCTCTTGTTTTATAACCACCAGGATCTTTTAATATTTGACTTGTCACCCAGGACCTACCAGGACATGGTCATTTTAGGGAACAGAAGGCTCCCTCACCTTTTTTGACAGATGTCCCTCTTTACCTCTTACATGGCACTGTCCCACCACAGCCGGGGGTGCGTTGGAGACGCCGTGGTAAATGTGACTGACTTTTGGTGAAAGCCTTCTTGGCATCACCTGCTGGAGCACCTTTCCTGTCCTGGGCTGGCCTGAGCGACACATCAGCTGCTCCAGGCGCTCCCTGTTTCCAGCTGTCACCTGCCTGGTACCTGTCACTGGCCCGCGGACAATCCTTCCTCACAAGCTGTCTTCACTCAGGTGGAGTAAACCATCAGAGTTTACGGCCGCTGTCGGGCACCCATGACCACGAAGGACCCGATTCCGACTAGGATGGGGCTTGTCAGTGCTAGATCGCCAGCAAATAAAACAGCTATCTTAAAGGATTTATTTACCAGCCGCGATCTGGATTTTCTGTTGGTGACAGAGACCTGGCTCAGCGCTGGTGTTAAGCTGTTTTTCTGAACGTTTACCTGTGGACTGTACATATTTTAATGCACCGAGATCTTCTGGACGTGATGGAGGTGTGGCAGCTGTTTTTAAGAAGAAATTCAGCTGTAAACAACTTTCAGCTGACTTTTATTCAAGCTTTGAACTGCTGATGTTTGAGTTGGGCCGCACCCAGCCCACCTGCTGTGCTGCTGTCTGCAGACCTCCAAAATATAATAAGGACTTCATTAAGGAATTCTCTGACTTTTTGGCTGGAGTTATGGCCAAATATGAACATGTTTTAATCATTGGAGATTTTAATATTCATATGTGCTGCCCCACTAAGTCATTGGTCAAAGACTTTTTAAGTATTTTAGATTCTTTTAATCTTGTTCAGTCTGTGTCAGGTCCAACTCACGAACAGGGCCACACTCTGGACCTTGTGTTGTCATTTGGTTTACCAGTTTTTAACATGGAATTATGTGACGCTGTGTTTTCCGATCACTGTCCTGTGCTGTTTGAAACCTCTGCACTGTTGTGATTTTAACCCTTTGATTCCGACACGTCGTCGTGTTTTTAAGGCCTCTGCAGCCGAACAATTTTCTGTTGTTTTTAACAAGGTTTTAGAGGGTTGCCCTGGTTTTATTACTGGTTTTGAAGCTGATTTTAATGTTGGTTTTGGTACTGGTTTTAATACTAATAAGATTACTTCCATCTTTTATCATAAATGCAAACATGTTCTTGATGTTGTTGCTCCTCTTTAGACAGTTAAACCAAAATCAAAGTCTGAACCTTGGTTAAATGAAGCCACTCGTTCTGCCAGACGAGAGTGCAGGAAGGCTGAACGAAAAGGGAAAAAAGATCAACTGCAGGTGTCTTTTATTATGTTGATAGAGAGTCTGTTCAGATACCAGGACACTGTCTGGGTTGAAAAAGCTAAGTTCTTCTCTAATATGATTGTAAATAATGCTCACAACCCTCGAACTATCTTCTCCACCATCGACTCTGTTCTGAACACCCCTCCATCTTCATGACTCGACATCTCTCCTGAAACTTGAGAGAAGTTCCTGCAGTTTTCTTATCAATAAGATAGAAAACCTCAGATCACTGATCACTCAGCCATCTCTTTATCCTCTCATCTCCATCACAAGTCCTGCTGTCTTCCATCAGTTTGAGCCTGTGTGTTTTAATCAGCTGGAGAAAATTAACAACATGAAGACTTCATCCTGTCCTAATGATGTGGTCCCAACTCATTTTAAAGAGAGTTTTTAAAGTAGTTGGTTCTGACATTTTAGAGATTTTTAACAGCAGCCTCAGTTCAGCTGTTGTTCCAGCCTGTTTTAAACATGCAGCTGTGCAGCCGCTGCTGAAGAAGCACAACCTGGACTCATCTGTCCTTTCAAATTTTAGGCCTACCTCCAAACTTCCTTTTTTATCAAAAGTTTTAGAAAGGATAGATTTTCCTCAGCTGCAGTCCTTTTTAAGTGCTCAGTCCAGTTTTTAAGCACTCCACGGCACAGAAACTGCACTTTTTAAAGTTTTTAATGATCTTTTAATCACTACAGATTCTGGAGACTCTGCTGTACTTTAGCTTTTAGACCTGACAGCAGCGTTTGATACAGTAGACCACGATATTTTACTTTCTAGGTTGGATCAGTGTGGCATCAAAGGCACTGCACTGGATTGGTTCAGGTCCCATCTGTCTGACAGGAGTTTCTCAGTGAGCCTTGGAAATTCTGTTTCCTCCTCAGCTCCCCTCACATGTGGAGTTCCCCAAGGATCCGTCCTTGGTCCTATTTTATTCTCCATAGATATGCTCCCCTTAGGCTCCATTTTTAGAAAATTTAACATCCTTTTTCACTCCTATGCAGATGACACCCAGATCTACCTTCAGTTGAGACCTAATCATTCTTCACTAAAACCACTGTTTGATTGCATCACTGAATTCAAAGCTTGGATGACTTCAAACTTTCTAAATTTTAATTAAAACAAAACTGAAACTATTATCTTTGGACCCAGTGGTAACCGCAGTGCTTCTCCTGAGGATCTGGGTGGAACCATCTGTTAAATCACACGTCAAAAACTTGGCTATGATCTTTGACTCAAACTTCAACTTTGAGAAACAGATTAATTCTGTAGTAAAAAGATCATTTTTTAAACTGTGACTTTTACCTAAAATCAAATGGTTTTTTTTGTCTTTCAAAGACCTTGAATGTGTGATCCATGCTTTATTACGTCTCAGCTGGATTATTGTAACTCTGTATGTTGGAGTTAGCCAGGCTGGCCTCTCACGCCTGCAGCTGGTTCAGAACGCTGCAGCTGGTCTTTTAACACGGACCAAGAAGTGTGATCATATGTCCCCGGTGCTGCTTCCCTTCAGTGGCTCCCTGTGTGTTTTAGAAATGATTTTAAACTTTTACTGATGACCTATAAGGCTCTGAATGGACTGATCCTGAACACCTGTCTGACCTCCTGCAGCCCTATGATCCAGATCTCTTCGATCAGTGATCATTTGCTCTGGGCGGTCCCACGGTCCAGACTGGTCCACAGAGGTGACCGAGCCTTTTCAGTTGTGGCTCCTGAACTGTGGAACCAGCTGCCTCTTCACATCAGACAGGCCTCAACTCTTGGAGTTTTTAAATCTCTTCTTAAAACACACCTGTTTTCAAAAGCCTTTAACGTAGTTTGAGAGTTGTTTCCCGGTTTATTTGGTCAGTTTTTATGGTTTTATCATTATTTATGTTTCTGTCAGTAATGCTTTGTTTTTAGTTGTAACATGTGAAGCACTTTGGCCAACGGCAGCTGTTTTTATAAATAAAGTTGACCTGACTTGACTGACACAAACTTGTTTGTGTTTTTCATGTGAGCCTAATAAGATTTAAAATTTTCTAACTGAAGAAAAATTTTTATTTCCACAGTTTTCTGAAGAAGAGCCCAAAACATCATCAGATCAAGCAGCTTCATCGGTAAATATGTATTTTTTAACATTTTGTAAATGTTTTGACACAAAAAGAGCCTGAAGGTCAGAATCAGATCAAACTTCTGTTT